GGCCTGGTTAAGGACCTTGGCCGAGGTCTCAGCCTACTCAGCCTTCCGACATCCGCTGCAACCCAAGGGCCTGTGGAGAGCTGCTGGACGACCTCGGCGTCGAGGGCAAGGGCCGCTCTTTGCGCCAACTCCTTTCAGCGCTCAGCTTCGCTTCTTGCAGGGCTGTGGTGGTGCCGCTAGGACTTTTACGATGTTACGGGCTTATCGGGCATCGGGTGGCCTCTGCAACAGTGCCAGTGTCGAAGGTTGCGAAATCATCGAAGCCATCCGGCACGCGCCTCGCCGATGCATTCCCGATTACTTGTGTATCAAGGTCCATGTCCACATGCTTTGCCAGAACAAACCCCAGACTTGCCTTTCCAATCGGATGAAAAACTTCATCTGCAATGATGAGGACACTCCACATGAACAAACACAAAAGTAGTTCCTGCGCTCTTTTCAAAATGCCCACCCCGCCTCACGAACAGGCGCTTTCCCTGGACATCCCCTGCCACAGCTGCGAAACTGCAGGACTCTCTGGCGCCTCGAATTCGCAACATCCGATTGCTGGGGCAGGCAGCCCACTGTTTGACACCCGCAAAACAACACAGCCATGGCACGGGGAATCAGGAAGTACAGAAGCGCCGCAAGACCTGAGTCTCATGATTGGGGTGCCGGTGCTTGCTGGCTCCAGTCAGACAATGTCCCCACCAGCACGAACCAGGTACGCGCTGAGACGTGATTTGTCAAACAATGGGCTAAGAGGACAATAATATCAGCATTCTGCCCTTGCGGGAATCGGGAAAAAGGCCGCAAAGCCAGGGCGCCGGCTTGCTAAACTTGCCAGGCGCTGCTTGTGTCGCAAGCATCGTGGCATCGCGAGGACGGTGCCCCACTGCTACATGGGGAGCTCAGGTCAGGGCTAAGCAAGCTATACTGGGCTCTCAGATGAGAAACTGGGCTGAAGATTATGCTTGCATCCTCATTCTCACAGTTTCAAGCCATGGCTTCTTGCACGAGAAGCAATCATCGCAACAGCTGAGTAGCGAGCGAGAGAAACAGAGAGTGAGAGAGAAAGATAGAGACAGAGAGACTGAGAGTGAGTCAGAGTGAGTGCGCGAGAGAGCAATGGAAAAATTGCATTAAACGTGCACGACCTCGTGGCCAACCATCACGAAGTTGTCTATCTTCAGCAGCTCGTGGCGGACGAGTGGCAACAATTAAAATATCCGGCATAAGGCCAACAAGTGGCTCGTTCCTTCACGGAGAGTCTGCTTGCAAAAATACTGCGGGGTCGCGATCTGAAAGATCCGAAACATGGAACCTTGCCATGTGCCTGTACGGCACACTGCCTGTCGAGCTTCTTGCAATGCAAAGCTGTTCGCAGGGGCATCCTCATGACAGACACTTCGTGGCAAACAGGTTCCATTGTGCCGTGGGGTTGCTGCGATCTTACACATCAGACGAGGATGGCTGCCGAGCGCAGCTTCGCTGCCAGAAACAGTGGTAGCAGAGGCAGCGCTTACGCTAGCACCGACACAAGTGCCAGGCTAGACATGACTATTTGACATTATAAAAGTGATCTTGAGAAAGTGTGCTTAATTCTCGACAGCTCTTCGGTCAACGTGCACGCGCCGAAATCTAGCAAGCTTCTGCCAGCTCGGCTTCGATTCTTCCTTGGATGGCACGAAGCAAGACATGGTAGATACCGAAACATCTAGCCTCGGGAACCGTTACGTCTTTCGCCCAGTAAATCCAGGGTTGGCTCAAGAGCAAGTGGCGGAGCTGTGTCAGCCCTGGCAGCCGCAGGGGCTGGACCGCAATGCCCTTCGCCAGAGAACCAAGCCCCTGGCACAGGGCCGTACAGTGCACTTGCTCAGAAGAACACAGCAGGCGCTCCAAGGTGGCTTGGCTGGACATGCTTGGACTCGACAACGGCTGCTGCTCCAGCCACATAACGCCGTAGGTGCACATCAGAACAAGTCAATATAATTCCGAAGCAACACGCAGCGAAACAAAGGCAGACGCAAGCTGTCGCAGAAGAAGTGCGTGCTGCAGGAGGCAAGGCATTCTGATGAAATCCTTATTCACGAACGGCTACTTCTGCCAGCAACCCGCAAAAAGCTCTTGAAGGATCCAAGTGCAGGGGTACAAACCTTTCAGAGCACTTCCTCAAGCGGCCTGATGGACATCTGGGTCCCGCATCTCAGCCTCGTGACGATCGGCGACAACACGCATGCACGTAGGTGGGAGCAGTTTCCGAAGCGATGACAACATTCGGGGGAGCACCTGTCCAAAGAGCCTGCAGCTGTACTAAAAACCATCCTACAGTTCCGTACCACCCCAGAGGCGCTTATAGCACCGGCCTCGTTGACGAGCAGCCGCAGTTGGAAGGCAACCGTGCGTGTCTCCTTCCAGTTTCGTGGCTCTGCTCCCGAGCAGAAGGTACCATGACACGAACAGAACTCAACTTCCCTGCCAATTTAAAAGGAATCCAAGGCGGCTCCCAGGTGGCTGCAGGGTATTCCAGGCCGTGCTCAAAGGCTGCCGGGTTCCCTACCTCAGACTCACGTCCTAAAGTGGCCCTAGTCAACCCATAAGGATGACCTGGGCCTTGGATCGCCTTTCGCTGTCGAGTCACGTAGACATCCCCCGGCACCTGCAACTCCTCGTGGATCGCGGGCTCCAGCTCGAAGGGCTGTCTGAGCTTCATCTTCAAAGACCGATGCCCGTGAACGGAGACCGCCATGTGGAGCGCCGAGTTGGGGGCATCCACGTGCCAGGCAATGTCATCTTGGCCCACTGGTTCACCCCAGTGGATCTGCACCGCAAGGTCGGCGAAAGCACGGCCCTGCTCCAGCAGCCGCCGCAGCACGGAGTCTTCCGGGCAGTCGGCCGCCATTCGCGCCAAGAACTCGGAGTTGGCCCGTCGCACGCCTTCAGCGAAGGCTCGCAGGCGCAGCGAGGCCGCGGGCTTGAGCATGTCTCTGCCGCAACGCGGGTTCACTGATGGGAAGGGCTCGGCACCAGGAAGGGTGTGGAAGTAGCCCTCCAGGTAATGATGACCCGGCAGATTGGGGTGGTCTACACATGGCGCGAAGCCAAGGTCGTGCATGCGCTGCACATCTCCAGAAACATCGCCACATAGAGCGTCCTCAAACAAGTGCTGAAGCACCTCAGGTACCCGCTGGCAACTTTCAAGAAACGAAACTGCTGCACCTCCCGCTGAGCCGAAACAAAAATCTCTGGGCCCTGCCTCCTGCGAGAGCTGTAAGCTCTGAAGTCCGACGGGCCCGAGTGCTTGGAAGCGCCGGCCAGGGCTTTCTTGTTCTTCTGGGAAGGAGAAGCCGAACAGCGACGGAACCTCCGAAAAGACGCTCGTCAGGGCCCTGCATGATGCCTTCGACGCCTGCACAGAGACGGTCAGGACCCATACGATTACGCCAAACAAAGGTAAAGAGTCTTACGGAGCAGGAACGTGGAAAGAAGGCCAACCGCCGTGCATAGAAAATCCCTTTACACTTAAGGTAAGAACCCCATGCGCCGCAGTGTCTTACCAAACTTTTTGGGGAAAAACATGGAAAACAGAGCCTTGAAGCTGGTGCCTCGGATTTTGCAACCTGTCACGGCACCTCCTCGGGCAGGCGGCAGTAACAGAAGTGATGTGCCCCGTAGTACTAGTCTCCTGGACCATGTCCCATGCGGAAGCCGAGGCACGAAGTTTCGGCCGCCAGGAGGCGAGCAAGCAGCCAACTCCGAAAGCAGACAAGCAAACTTGTCCGACCTCGCTTGCAGGGATTGGCGAAGTCAAGCCAAATCAGCTTGACCTCTTTCCTAGTCAAAAAGCATCTCCTGTCATGCCAGGGACTGAAACAATCCAAAGGGGGAATCTGAATTCGACTGAAGCATACATGCCAGGCACGGAAGAGGGCAGAAGCAGCCGAGTGAGCGCCACTGGCTGCGGAGACAAGCCGGCCCGGCCGCATGGAGCCACCAAAGCGAAAGCGGCTCCTCTGGGTAGTTCGCGAAGATGCATATATATATATATATATATATATATATGTGTATATATATATATATGTATATGCATGTATGTATATGTATGTATATATATATATATGGG